CGAAATAAACTGCAACTGATGCAAATTATTTGAAATGTCATGCTTTACTCGCAGCACTTCACTTTCCACTGGAAACTACTAGTTAACTATGCTCAACAGGTACCCAGGGTGCTAGAGGTAGTCACACAACGCTAAACAGAATTGCATGAAGAGACAAAAACGGCTGAGAGAAAGACTTCACGAAACGAATCAAATTTCGAAATTAAACGCGAAAATCAAGTCTCGAGTTTCGAGAAACCAGCATGTTTTGATAATCATCATCAAGGATTTCGAGAAACGACTTATTTCTCGAGAAAAAATAACAATAGCCGTTCGGACGCACAGCGAACGTACCGACCAACAGCACTAGCTTGCAAGTACAATTTAAGCGACACTAAGTTTTAAGCCGGTTTTTCGGCGATAAAAAAACCAACAAATGGTTTTATTATCTTGAAGTTTTGAAATCTGACTCAGTATTTTTGTATCAAGTCTATCGTTTGAACTATCAAAAATGTTTTTATATTTGTGAAGCCGTCGTGCGCGATGTCCTATATAAAAAAGAGATTGAAACTCAAAAACTGTAATGTTCTTGGGGCAACTCAAAAATACCACAAACGTACAACACAAAATTGAGGGAGCCGTAAATAACGCTGAATATATGATAGAAGAAATTTCGGAGTGTACTAGTCGGGTTCGTAGCATGAGCACGATAGAAACTTGCAAACTGAGTAAAATTTGCATATGTCACGTGTAATTTGAAACCTCTTGCTTTTACGCGCATGGCGACTTTTTACTACATGCAACAGTAGCCTGTGGGCAGGCTCTCTGTTTCTGGAAAGGGTGACAAAATCGCGAGGAGAGGGAAGGGAAAGCGGGAGGGCTTGTAGACAAACCATTGAGGCCGCTATTCCGCCCTCTTGTCTTGTAATTACCCATCATCTGTCAGCAAGATCGTTATCTGTCACTTGGATACATTGGAATGTAATAAAAAGGGAGTCGGTAGGCAACACACGACTTTTACCTCGTTTTAAAACGCTGCTTGTTCCAATAAATTTTTTCTCTGGCGTGTAGATTATGCTCTGGAGGGTTGTACGTTTTAACTTAGCAAATGTGATTCTACCTTGCATTTGCATACAATCGGAGGTCACGTGAGATAGCAAGCATGCGATATCCGAGCTCAGTGCAAGTTTGATGTCCGAGCGAGTCAGTTGACAGTGTAATTCATAGAGTAAGGTTTTTACCGATTTTTACTGCGTTTCCGACATTATTTCTGACCGACCGTTCCTTATGTGGCAAACAGACGAAAATGAGGCGCTTAACGACGACCAGCTATCGGATGAAGGTCTGGACGAAGGAGAATTACTTAAAGATTCTGGAAGAAGATAAAAATATGGCGGCCGAGCCTGGCACAAGCGGCGCGAACGTTTGGCTGTCCGCTGCGGACTTTAAGAGTCTTCCACTGGCAATATTGAATGTGTCAAAAAGACTCGATAAATTTGCAGAAACCTTGCGACGGTAAAAGCCCTGTGACTACTGCTTTGATGATGTGTGCTCGAAAAAGCATATTATACTTTTAACACTACTCTTGTTTAGAAATTACGAAATTATAAAATTATGCTACTCTGAAAATTATGCTCTCTGTCACCAAAATTGTGCCCACTTATAGACTTTTACACTGTGAATTTAAAGAGAAATAAAGATCATCAAACCTAACTCTATCAATTTTGATTTAATGAACATTCATATAATTCATACATTCATATAGTCTTACCAGTCTTTAACATCGCAAATACGCATGTGCACACCTCGAAAAAGCCAAATGACTGATGCAAAATCATTCCGGGTTCCTGGTGTGGCCCGCATGCTTGTTTCGAACGCCATCCAGGCCAGCCCTCAGTTCTCAGGTATGCCTGTGTGGTTCTGGTGAAGTCAGGTGCGGTGAATGGATGGTCATATAGAATACTGGCCAGGCTGCACCAGCAGAACCTTCATAACTACGAAGACCAGTGCTAAGTCAACATTTAAACAAGGTCATTGATTACATTACACTCAATTGCAGGCACTGGACGCTGCGCTCACTGTTGCAAGCCTCCTGTTCAGCAATCGCTAACACTCTGTGCGGATCCCGCGTCACGACTATAGCTTCTAGCTACGGCGCATGGACGTGGGTAAATGTATATTCTGACATGCATTGCAAACTCCTTGTAATGTCTCAAAGCATGACAAAACAAAAGGGCCATCTGCCTCTAAAATGTAAGCGGCCTTAACAAATACCTCGCCCACATCAACGAGTGCTGCTAGTTCAAGCTTGAGACTGATCACCTTACTCAGATGTGAGAAGAAATCAACCAACTGACGCGAGATCTGAGGAGCAACATTCTCCCTAACCACGTCATCTATAATTCGTTGTACATTACCAAATTGTTCCATAAGCTGTTTGTACACTTCCCATCTGGACCACCAGTGAATTTCGGAGTAACGTTTCGGCTTACGTCCAGTCAGTTTCTTCCACATTAGTCCCGCTTTGTGGCTTTGCGAAAATAAGGGGATCCACAGATTGCCAAACTCTGTCAGATTGGGGATAACAAAAGGATTACCGACATTGTCCAGCGTGTGAGAAAAGCAAACAACATTGAATGTCTTTGGGAATATAAACCGGATGCGATTTAACGCAGCTTGATTCACGCTGGCCCCATCTCTAATGTCAGCTATCATAGAGTCTCCTCTCACACCGTACTCAAGACTTAAACACTCGTTGAGCACTTAAGCAAGCTGGTTGCCATTCACTGACTTGGCGCAATATCGATTCTGATCAGTCGTTGTACGATATTCCAATCATTATCGACAAAACGGATCAGGATCACGATCGCTTCACCCTGTCTCGTGCTGCCATCATAAATGACAGATAAGTCCCTTGTTGATACTCCTTGGCGAATTTCTGCTTTAATTAATTCTCTCAATCTCCTGCTTGTATATTATCGTTACGTAATCCATAATGTTCGAACTGTGACCCAGCCGATGGCCTTGCCTTTAAAGAAGCGTTCGAAGTTTGTCCATCTTACGTATGGGTATTCCAGCCTTAAGAAACTCCTCTACCACCTGTAAACGGTATGCTCTCCCCTCGACTGGCAACATGCTATCCTTGTTGTGTTTTTCTTTACGAAGTGAATCTTCGATCGTTTGATCTCGTTCTTTTGTCTTTTTTAACTTCTCTTTGCCTGCGGCATGTTTTTTGGAAGCCAACTGGTTTTTTAGAATGCTCTTTTTAGAGCTCAATATCTCCTTACACCCATTGCAAAACAGGCCACCTCGAAGACACAAATTTTCCCCTGGGAATTCTTCGATTCGATCACGAGGACTCATGTTCTTTGGATCTGAGTTACCTCTTTCCGTGTACTTTCAGGTATTACTTTTAGGAACACATTCTTTAGAGATTAAAACTCTCGGTACGGCACTGGAAGTGGTGGAAGTGGATGTACTCGAGGACGACGCCAACCCTGAGGCCTGTGGGGCCGAGCCGCCGAGCCATAAGCGTGGTGGCCTGAGGAGAGTCTCAGTCTCTCAGATATGCACAGGGTGACCTCTGCCGCCTGCCGGACCATATTTGACCATGGGCCTTAGCACAGACCTCAATATTTTCCAAAAACAATACAAAAATAAAATACAAACTGAATTCTTCTAGAGCTATGATGGGTTTTTTGTTTTCAACGCATAAAAGCTCGGATTATGCTAGCAGTGCTAAACTGAAATAAAAGCTTAAAATAATGCTCGTTTTGCTGAATTATGCTTAAAATTATGCTAGCACAATCTACAAAGTCTACAAACGACCGAGCCAGGAACATCAAAATGCCGTTCCCTCCAAAAAGCCTGCCAAAGAATGCTCGAGCTCCTAGAGCGAGCAAAATACCTCGGACAACGAGGGGTGTTCAAACACTCACGGCTAAAGTTGCCGGCGATGATGACTATCTCGACAACGGGGACGAAGATGAAACACTTACAGAACTACAGAAAGAGTACGAGTCTGAAGACTCTATTGGGAAAAACATACAAAGCCCACACCGGGTATAATCCCAGTTGCCCGGTTGACAGACCTGACCATGTCAGAAAAGCATGGGTTAGACAAAGAGGGCATGCAGCTGATCAAGCAATTTGGACTTGATGCCTTGTCACTACTAACGCATGTAAACTATGAACTAAACATGCAGCGAAAACACCTCATGAAACCTGACAAACTGACACACTTTTTCTCAGCGGAATCCAAAAAACTCCAAAGGCCAAACATTCAGATCTTGGTGTCACAAGGAGTCTCCAAAGATGAACCCAAACAGGAGGCCATCACAGTAGCTCATGCTCTTAACACGGTAAATTGTGGTGTACAAAATTTTGTTGCTGGTAACATAGCTCATCCCTTTTCTGACTGGAGGTCTATTTTCTCAGACCCAAGCATCCTTGAGATTGTATCGGGTTATCGCATCGATTTTGAACGGTTACCATGCCAAACATCCGTGCCCTGATAAAGTTGTTTTAAACAAGACAACACACTGCAATGGAGAATTCATCTCTTCGGTATTTACTAGACTAAAGAAAGATGGGTCTCATAGACTTATCCTGAACCTCAAAAATCTTAATGAGTTTGTTACTTACCAGCATTTTCAAATGAATCCCTCCAATCAGCTGCCCAACTACTTAAAAAGGACTATTGGATGGTACTTCTAGACCTCAAGGATGTTTATTACTCTGTACCAATAAATCTCCAGTACATAAAATACCTAAGGTTTGAATTTAACGGAACCCTTTATGAGTTTACTTGCCTGCCAAATGACCTGGCCTCGGCCCCTAGGGTCTTCACCAAGCTTATGAAACCAGTCTATGCAACACTGAGATCCAAAGGATACCTTATAGTGGGTTACATAGACGACATATTACTATTGGCAGAAACACCAGAGCAGCTAGCTCAAGTAGTTGCTGACACGGTTTCCCTACTCAGGGCACTTGGCTTCACAATCCATGATACTAAATCCATGATACTAAATCTTGTTTGTCCAAGAAAGCAGAACAACAGCCATACTTGTGTACCCATACTGGCCAACCCAGGTGTGGTACCCACACCTCCTACAGTTGATGAAGTCTCCTCCAATTACTGGTTTTCGGAGTCAAGCCATTCAAAATAGATCAAAATAAAAATCAAAACCATTCGACAGATAAAGTCCAGAATCTGGGAAATGAAAGGAGGTAAATATACAGACCCTCGCCAAGATTTGGGTCGAAGGAATAATTTGCATACGAGATATCCGAGGAAATGTTTTACCCAAATTTATAGAGCTTTGTATGGAGACGCCATGCTGGAGCTCATCCGGACGAAGCTCCGACATGGCGGACGGAAACCAACAGAAACATCTGTTACCGAGTTTTGCTACAAAAGCGTGAATTTACCCCTAGAGGAACTCATAATCATTAAAGTAATACGTTTTCTGATACTTGAACAGCGGATAGCAAAATTCCCGGAAAAAAGTCACTTTTTTAACCTAAATGACAGCTCTCTCGGCCGTCATGTAAATGCTGCGTCACGCAAAAGCTTAGAAATTCAAGAGTACTCTTTTACAAAACCAAGAACCCTTTTGAAGCGAAAATTTGTTTGAAAATTAGTTCTCAGCTGCTCTAATACACCATGAAAGTAAAATCTCAGTAGGATCGATAGTTTTGTAGTTTGAATTTTAGTGACGTCATGTGAAAACCAACAATATCAATCAAAATGTACCGCAAAACCATTATTCTCCCACATCAACCAGAACAAGTCCACCCATTATGTCCCAGACTTCACTGAACTTCATGGATGCCTCTTATCAGGGCATCCTTAGCTGCTCAAGGCATAACGGGGGAACTTCAGGACATCATCTTGGCATCATGGCGAGATGGAACCCGCAAACAGTATTGCACATATATTACAGCCTGATTAAAGTACTGCTCTGATTGTAACATCAGCCAAGTCAATGCCAAGCTGCAGCAAGTCCTTAATTTCCTCACTCTGCAATCTAAACGTGTGGGATATAGTGCGGTTGCAACTGCCCGAAGTGCACTGTCAAGTTTTATTAAAGTTGATGGTGTAAAAGGGGGTGACCACCCCCTGGTGTCAAGGTTTATGACTGGACTGTTTAATCAAAAGCCTGCCCTCCCACGCTACTCTGAGACTTGGGACCCCCAAATAGTGCTTAACCACCTTAAGACATTTCCTTCCATTGATGATATGTCACTGAAACAGCTTACCCTGAAACTGGTCACGCTTATGGCCCTATTGTCTGCACAGAGAGCTCAGACTTTACAGTCCTTGTCCTTGGAAGAAATGAGTACCCTACTTGGAAAGTATGTCTTTCCCATCTCTTCTGTTTTAAAACAAACAACTGCCAAAGGGGGCCAGAACATACATTTACTACCCATTACTTTTCATAGTTACTCAGTTGGACAAAAGACTTTGTATCGTGGAGCTACTTTCAGGTTATCTTCAAAGAACAGCTCCTCTCAGGAAAGAGACAAAGCAGTTGCTTATTTGCCATGCTGAACCTCATGGACCAGCTTCAAGGGACACAATATCACGTTGGATAAAAGAAAACCATGAAGGATGCGGGAATTGATACTACGGTTTTCAAACCCCACAGCACTAGGGATGCCTCTACCTAAGCAGCTAAAGCACTGAATGTCCCTGTTCAGGTCATAATGAACACTGCTGGATGGCGTTCTGATTCTACTTTTGGCAAATTCTATGATCGCCCTGTTCTAACTGCGAACAGCTTTGCTGCAGCAATTCTGAAAGATGGGAAATTGTAATCTCAAATAACTTCCCTTTTTGAACCAGTGCATGTTCAAACAATGCCTTATTTAATATATAGATTGCTGATGGTGAATATTTATCATTTATCGATATCAGTTGTTGCTGCCGTACTTATTACTGTCATGTAGGAGGCCTATTACAAATACATGTTATGTTGTGTTCATTTATTTCTTTTTTGATGTCTTAGTTTTCTGTGGCTTTGAGCTTTAAAGTCTCTCGTGACCTCCGTAAGCGTTTTTTGCAGGATATTTTCAAAATTCTCACGGATAGTGAATTACAGATCCACATTTCGAAGAATGAATTGCAGCTTAAACTGAAGCTCCCTGTTCACAAGCGATTATTCAAATCGCTTGCTACGTGCCTACTGCTGGTGCCGACAAAAAAGGCAATGTCAACAGTCAGTGTTCTCGCTAGTAGGAGCTTACATCAGAATCTGATGCACAGCGGGTGCCGTGGAACGGCGGTCCCGAAGGTTTGTCTTCAGGCCTTATTGCTTTTCTCTCTTCCCAGTTCCCCCCTCGAGGACCTCGACCGAAGGCCTGTTCACAGGCTACCCGCGCGGGCAAAACTCAGGCGCCTCAGGTGATCAGGCGCCCGTTAAGCAGCAGCCATGCTCTGTATGTCATGTGTTTCCCACAAATGTTACCCTTAGAGCATAGAAAATCAGACAATATCTTCTGTCCAAACCGGTAAGCACCATACATTTTTTTGGTTCGGTTTGTTTTAGCTGACGCATTCTGATGATTATCATCACATCCGTCTCACATTCATGATTGCCACCCCTTAGTCATTATCAGTATGTATTAGGATTGATTTTTAACATCCATGATTTGTTTTAAATCCTGTTTTTGGATGCTGATATGATATCGGTATACAAAACTGAAGTTATTTTTTGTTCCAGTGGTTGGAACAAATCGATCAGACAGCGTGTTTTCGGCAGTTTGTTTTCATATAGAGGTTTGTAAGGCCGGTGATTAGAACTGTTATAAAGTAAAAAAATGATCTTGCTTATGAAATCGCTGATTTGAAATGCACTCGCAAGCTAAACTCAAATTCCAAAAATGAGGCATTTTCGTTTAAATAGAAGCCGAGAAAATGAAGGCCAAAGTTGGAATCTAAGAGCGTTATTATGGAAATATAAATAATCAGGGGGAAGGGGGGGAATCACCTACATTCTACTTCCCCAAATAAAGCACGATATATGATCCTTGCAAGGTCGATGACAGACAAGGCCGCAGGTAAATGACCTATTATACAAATTAGCGCGTTGCTACGGCTGTTTTTTACGACGCCATTTTGAGAGCTCGTCACGTAACGAGTTCAAACGAAGTTTTTCGAATTTTGTCGCCACGTTCCGTGCTACAATCGGATCAGTGTCACAACACTGAGCATTAAGAACAGCGGTTTCCTCGTATGAATTCAAGATGGCAACGAAGAAAAAAGCGAAGCGCGACGAAAATTAAGGGCGACTTTGCGGCTGCGTTGGACCGCACTGAAAACAAATTGATGTAAAAAGATGAGGATTTATAATACCGCGCTGAAACATGCCAGGTTTATTCGACTGACGTTAAGGGAAAACGTCTTAAACTCCCGGCAATGAGGGAACATTTTGGAATTTTTGACGGCGGCCTGAAGTTACAGGGCATTACAAAAAAATCCACCTCTATATCTCACGAAAAAATTGCCGGGCACTGCCAGGAATTTAAAGGTAAATGAACAATCTAAGTATAAGTCAGTTCAGCAAAAAGCAAGAGTGATTCTTGCTTGTTTGAGCCTGCGATATAAATCGGAAATCACACCTGTGAAAATTGACACCTCGGATATCAGTTTTCTAAAAGTTCAGCTCTCGCTTGATAGACCTGTAAAATTTTTATTTTAAAAAATTCTTTATTATTTGAGAAATAAATGTTTCAAATGGGATGGTTTATAACAGATCTAATACCTTAAATGAGTACATAAGGGTCTTGGAATTTGTCCTTGATGTGCACCCCCTATGGGAATGAAAAGGATCAGCTTTTCGCTCTCCAATTTTTCTATGGAATGCGTAGAATTGCAAAAAGGAGATTTTGATTACTGACTATAAAAGTTGTCCTCCCATGTTGATCTTGAGCAGCTGATATATTTATCCGTTGTGCGAAACTGAGTTGATGGAACGCTTTATGAGTTTCTTCGAAACAATTTTAACATTAAAATGTTACTAGTAGCAGTAGAATTAATAGTAACAAATATACGAAGTAAACAAAAAAATTCTTTCCTTTGCAGAGAACATCAATGGAACACAGCTTCACTTTTAGTTTGCTTGGTGCAGCGTCTTTTGTGTTGACTACAGCGAATCCATGGGTTATGGTTGCCGCCATTGCTTCGGCGACGGTGATTGGCACTGTGGGTTTGGTTGTGGGAGACAAGTTCATTCACGGGCGTAATCCTGACAGGCAGCAGAAGAATAAATAGGTTTCTCGGAGCTTTCCATGTTCAGTTCATTGTATGAGTAGAATCAATGCAATTGCTTGTTTATCAGTTTCTGACACTATTGTAGTTTCTGTAACCTCAGCGTGTACAATTTTTATGTACGTTTGGTAAGAAAGGAAGAAAGCATGACGTCATACGTTGTTTTAGCTTTGGAAAAGGACGTGTAGCATTGTAATATTAAATTTAAAGTTAATATAGTAACACAAACTTAAACGTGGTTTAAATAGTCTACAGTATTTGAAGACACATCATTGCGCACTACAAGAGTAAAATTCTATCTGACGCTATTTCTATATATCCCAACAAAATGATTGGAACATGACCTTAGTAGCCATTGTACCTCTGGATCATGACAAAACATCCTGCTCCTTTTCTTTGGCTAGGCGGAGAAGAATGTCATTAATCACACAAAAACGTACAAAACTCGAAATTTTAACGCGCTAACATAAGTCACACCACATTCCACAAAATCGCGACGAAACTGCGTTATTCTGTGTGTAAAGACACTGCTTTTGACGGAGAAGCTACTCTAAGCCGTACACTTCAGGGACACCCAACGACGGTATCCTCCTAAATACGTTGATACACTTTTTAGGCTATCCAGAGTACTTTTAGATCTCTAGAAATGCATTCTAAGCGGCGCTATAAAATTTGTATCAGTTCGGTCATCCTAGGAGAACTTGGCTGTTTCCGAAATTACGAAGGATTCAGTATTATTTTCCTGAA